GCCACTTCCACTACTGCTGCTACTGCTACTGATACGAGTACTAAAGCTAGTACTTGGGCTGCCACTACGACGGCGACGACTACGATGACGACTACTACCACTACTACTACTTAAACATACATCAAAACTCATGCGAAAAGCATGGAATCGTGTGGCTCAGTTCGCTCGCCAGTTGGCGACATAAGTACCGTGTCCGAGACATGTAGCATCTGCGCCGTTGCTCATGTCGCTAATGTGGCTCGGATTCAGCTCGCGGGTACGGGCTTCATTCGCGCTTGTAAGTTCGATTGAGGATTCGAGTTCTAAAAGCAGAGTTGAGCCAAGTGTAGCAAAATTTCCTTTGAACACGGGTTTCATCTTCTGCTGTTGTTGATTTGATGGCTTTTGGAGTATCGTACTCTTTCGAAAGAAGTGCAGGAACGCATGAGCTACAGTCAACAGCGCGGGTACATGACATAGTTCAGGATCAGGAGGGATGCAGGATTATAAAGCGGGCATGTCAGCAATACCAAAGGTAGCAGACATCGGCCCCAGACAGGAGCGGGAAGTCCGCGCTGCTTGCAGGGCAACAAGGCTGGTCCAAACGGAATGGGGTGCTCGGACAGGTTGGATCACACTCTTTCCCTAACCCCCCAGGTACCTACTATATATGGCCTTAGGGGCTCTAGTACCCTATATAGTAGGTACCTGGGGGGTTAGGGTTTGTTTGGGAGATGCACTAGATCTCGACACAGCCCACACGGCAGACGGACGGCTTCCAGATGCATGCTGTGTTGGGTACGAGCTCATGTGGCGTAATCTTTTGGCTCAACAATGTAGCTTAGTTCTGCGGTTGTACTTATAGCATCAAGTTTGGCGAGGCACTGGTGCCTGGCGACTAATTGGCAGATGCCACAAAAAGTCTATCGCTCTTTGATTCTCAGCCGTTGAGCCGCCATGCTGCCAGAATGTCTCTATGTGGACAGCAGGTAGCCCTGCAGCGATTGGTGAAAATTGAAACTGAAACAAACGCTTGAGGGTTTAGGGTTTAGGG